ATAATAACTTTTCTTTTTCCTTTGGTGCACCAGAAAAAACCTTAAAAGATATATTGAAGCTTATGTCTGTAACGGTGAAATATTTGGAAAAAAAAAGTTCCAAGTTGGAATACTTTTGCAAGAAATGGTAAGACTCATCACTAAAATGTTCACTGAGTCGGTCTTATGCCACCCTCTTTTAAAATAGAGCAGAAAGATGAGAATTGCTGATGATCGTGCCATCTGTTGAGCGGGCAGACTCAGCCTCCAGGGTTACTCACACCCACATGGACCTGGTTCGGACACACAGCACCGTTTTCTCTTCAGGCACGCCGTTAAATTTTAGTGAATCGAGGTCCTTCCTACAAAAGAAAAAAAGTCTGAACTCGTCTGGGCTGGATATGGTTATGCAGCGGAACAGCTGAGGAAATGAATGCTCCTGTGAGCTGCTCAACGGGGGCTGGTGCAGAGCATCCAAAGCAGCCGAGCAGAAAACGGAGGAGAAAAACAAAGAAGCGGGTAGGGGAAGAAAAAAGAAATGAGAAAACTGACAAGAGAGCGATTAGGAAGAAAAACAATGAAGGGGATCTGAAAAACCTGAGCATTCAGGCAGCATGGCAACAAAGATTAAAACCCGTTTTTTTGTACTGCCAGACGTATTCCACACCTCACCCTGATGAACCCCCCCCCTTGCCCAACTCCCAGACACTCTTTCAGTCACAGACAGCCGCTGCCACGACTCTCCTCATGTGACGTTTGTTTTGGCTTGGAAACGATGGCCCAGCACAGCTGTTTAAAGTAGAGTGTCAGGGTAATGGCAGCTGCAGGCAATCAGACAGCTAGAGGAAGGAAACTAGCCACGAGTTTTCTTTTTTTGGGGGGACAAACAGGGGTTGTGGAGGTGTCACCTATTACAGTTGTGCAGCGCTCTGTTACAGTTGGGCTCAAATGGAGTGGAGGAATGTCTGAATGGTGACAGCTGTTATTTCAGTTTAAACTATTCTTCGGAACATGAACGTTTCCGATAACTTCCTCTGTAACATGCATTATATTGTCGAGGGTTATTGCTTATTTGCCTTCACGCACAGGCATGAGTTACCTCACATTCCTAATCCATTGAGTTTAATATGATGTCAGACAGGCCTTAGCAGCTGTGGCAGCTTTTACTCTTTTGGGAAGGTTTTCCAGAAGCCTGATGGTGTTGGGCAAAAAGATCTTGCTCAGAGTTCACACTCCAAGTCATCTCAAAGGTGTTCAGATAGTTTGGAGAGGAAAGTCAAGTTCCTTCATACCAAGCTTGTTCATTGATGTCTTTATGGACCTTGTGTTGTGTTCAGACACATATCATGACAGAGAGAGGATGTCCTCAAAATGTTTGAAAAAGGTTATTCTCCTCATAACTACCAAACCCAGGCAGAGAAGCTGAGAGATTATTCATCACTCCCGAAACTACTCTAGAGTCCAGTGGCGACATGTCTTATACTCGTGTGGCTTAGATGCAGTTGCAGTGCCATAAAATCCCATTCCATAAAGCTCTCGGCGATGTTCCCGAGCCAACATGAAGGTCACAAAGGTCTGTACCCACTGAATCTGCAGAAAGTTTGTGATTATCCAAGCTCAGGATCCTGCAGCCCCATGCTATGATCCTACAAGCCTACCACACTTTGTAGCCAAGTTGCTGCCATTTTTATTTCCTGCAAATTTGGTGTTACGAAATTCCATGACTGGAGGTATTTTACAATTGGTACCACATTGGAATTCATTGAGCTCCTAACAACAATTTTTTTTTGCATTCCTACATCTTCTATTTTATACACTTGTGTCCAAGAAAGTGCTTGGAACACCTTGATACAATTATCTAGATAGGTTAGTGAATAGTTTTGACAATATAGTATATAATGCCCTGTTTGAAAAGTTCCCATAAATGAAACCATGCCTATAAATCCAGAAAGCAGTACATAAAAAGAGGAATACGCTGTAACACTGCTTTTCCTCTCCTGCTGAGAGACATATGTAGCGGTTGGAAAGGGAAGAAGAAAAATAAAGGCCATTTGAAGAGATTGCAGGGAACATTTCTCAAGCACAAAGTTTAAAATTTCGCCCATCAATTTCACTTTGCGTGGCTCCGTTGTATATGACCTTGGGTGAATGATCCCTTCAGTCAGTCAGAGACATTCGGCTGAACCGAGGGGGGATTTCAGTCAGTCCAAAAGGGAGCAATACAATTTTTATTCATCTCACTGTGGAGCTAATGATTCATGGATCTTCCTGTTAAAAGAAAGAGAAGGAGGATGAGGAGGTGATGGTGGTGGAGGGGGAGGAATCTTTGGTGTAGGACCAAAGCTCAATGAGGTTTGAAAACTGTTGTCACACATCACTGAGCAGATGTCTGATGTCGAGTAACTCAATTCAGAAGATTTCTCATTGTGATATTCTTGGCACAGGCTGAACAAAAAAGACGCAGAAAAAATAAATGGGGGTATTAGAAAATAAGGACAGAAACATATTTTGAGCTCCAGTGAGAAGAGCAGTTTGGTCAGTGGAAAATACTAATGTTTTTTTTTTTTTTGTTATTGTTGTTGTTTAAAGCACATTTAATGAGAACTACTAGGCATACAGTGTAAGCTAGACCAAGGATGATATAAAATTTATATTTAAAAATTTCATTTTTACAACTTTCCAATAATACCTATTACCATCCTGTAAATGAAACTTTTTTTTAATGTCTGAACTTAATTTTGAACATTAATTTTGTAATAGGGATTGCTAATTATATAAATGGGTTGCAAATCATTTCAGCTGTTGAAATGGTTGAAAATACATTTGGTGTGAAAGAACTTGGTTGTAAACCATTTCAACTGTGTTTTCTTACCCTCATAGTTTAAAGTCCTTTCAACGCATTGCCACTGAAAGAAAGTCTTCCTCAGACCAGAGTTTTATTTGCACAGAGTAATAATGTCTGTCTACTTGTATTAGAAAACATGGACAATCACCCTCTTTGTTTCTCCTTTAACGTCAGGTATTCACAGCTTGAGATATGAAAGTCTGCCCAGTTGGAAATTCTTTAAAAGAACTTATCAGCAGAACTTAGCTTTCTCGAATATGAGAAAGAGCTAAGTTAAGATGGTTGAAAGATCCCTGTTTGTGTTACAGAATATTTCATTTCATCACTTGATGTTTGTGAGTTTCTATGAATAATCCAGTTTGTCCTTGATTAGCCAGGACAATGCTCCAACCTCCTGCTCCACAGATATGATGCTAATTCAGTACAGGGTACATTTGCTTCTGTTTTATTTGTTGTGATCCCAGACCTTTGACATTTGTGATCTTTTTCTAAAATGTGCTGCTCATCACCACCCTGGTCTCTCTCCTTCACATGTAATGTAAACAGAAGGACGTTGCACAACGGCAATTACTGTTGCTATAAATCACGAGTGTGTAAAACAGATGCAGTAACTCTAGAGGACATAAATGAAGCATTGGGGAGATTTTGCCTCAGGGATTTTTTTCAAATCGAGTCATTCAAGTAACAATTTCACTGTTTGCAATGTTGCTCTCTATGAAGTTAAAAAACAAAAAGGTGTAATATTCTGCACAATAAATACCTTTAACTTGAAAACTGCCACAAGTCATGTGTTTAAGCATATTTTGCTTTTTTTGTCTAAATTTTAAGGAACTGTGGTAGTTTTTCCTCCTATGTCTTTTATGACACCAGTTTTTTGGTCAATTATTTAACTAACTTCCCTGTCAGATTTCTTTTTATCTTGGAGTGTAACTCTGTCTCTGAAAGGTATTGCTTGTTTAAAACACCTTTGAGTCCAAAAGATGAAAGAAATAGGTTGCATACTCTTCTATGTAATGACTCTGAATTTTAATGTACTTGTCTTTTTAAAAATTTTGTATCTGTATTTTCCATTTCACTTCCTTATCAATTACATTTTCTGTGAAAAACCATGAATTTCTTCATAAATACATAAGTCATTTTCTGACTCTTACGCCCGGTTCTGCCAATAAGAATCAACCTGATCCTGGCTGAGGAATTGTTAAATCTGCTTAGTGAAATGTACAGCATCGTCAGCATTAAAAACCATTTTAAACTTATAAAAACAATTAATCTGCCATACCTAAAGACGTTTAAGTGCTGTTTTATAACATTTATAATCGTTCTGTCAATGTTTGTTCATGGAGAAGTAGTAGAAATGTTTTCAATGTTTAAAAGCAACAACAAATGAAGGTGTATGTGTCCTTGTTTGTTTCCTTGGTGCAGTTTTTTTTTTCTTTTTGGCAAATTCAAGGATGCTTGAAGACTTAAACAAAGTGACTCATTTGTGATTTTCCTATATCTGATGGTTGCCATCTCACCATCTAGTCACAGACTCGTCACCCAGTCCCTGCAGCATTTCAGAATAATGGGCCCTGCAGCACATTTTGGGATGTCCCGTGCTGCTGGAGGTTTTCTTTCTATCCCTTGTGCTTTGACAGTGTGGACTATGAGTTCCAGAGATAACTGATCTGGCTTCATTGCTTTGGTTCTGCTCTGTTGCTCACTGGCAAACCATGTAGACCGGCCTGTTCCAGTACAAATCATGATCAATTAGCCATATTTACAGATTGCAGAGTCCAGTCAAGGTGTAGGAGCAACTCAGTGAGGATCAGTGAACTCAAATGAACCTGAGCTGAAAAAGAAGTCTTGAAACCTGTTTTATTTTTAACATCATGGGACACATGACCATGGTTTGAAGGGGCGTGAGTGCTTTCAATGGAAATAACCAAACCTTAAATGAATTTAATGTTTCTTTGGAAGTCGTAAGATCTCAAAGTTTCTTCCCTGTAATACTGTTTCAGTGTCTGTTTTAAGTTTTAAGAAAAAAGTTGTACATGTTTGGTGTTCACATTGTGCTTCAATCATTTTTTTGTGTTTGAGGACATTTGAAAACAACATCCAAACCTGTCTTCGACTCAGCAGGATGACTCCTTTGCCCCCCCCCAATCCCACGAGTCAAAACGTACGGTCCACTTACTTTGAGCGTCGGCGAGGTGGAGGAGCAGACCCTGGATCAGCAGCAGCAGCGGCAGCAGCAGCAGCGTGGGTCTGGCTCTGTGCATGGTGGGACAGCTTGGCACCAGCATGCTTTGGCAGCCTCAGTGGCACTGGCTCACAGAGCCCTGTGAGTCAGTCTGGTCTGATTTCTCAGATGCAGGGTATTCACAGCCTGCACAAGGCGAGGGAAGGGGAGGACGGAGGACGAAGATGGAGAAGGGAGGGAAGAGAAGAGGGAGAGAGAGAGAATGAATGAAACAAAGCTGTTTGGCTCCACGGGTTTTATCTATCCCTGCACATTTCTGACATACCCCCACACAGCCTCGGCTGGAGCTGACAGAGGATAGGAACAGCCTGATGTGCTCACAGGGTATATTCTGACAGTTCTCTAAATGGAATAGTCACTTCACACGGATGCATATGTGCATGAGAGACCGAGATAGCGAGAGCAAGCGAAGGGAAAAATCCCACAGATAAAAGGGCGAGTCGACTTGATTTTTGTCTTCACAGCTTAGGTCACGAGCGCCAATCAAACAAGCTGCATAATTAAAGAGCATTTAGATCACAGAGGGAACTCGGCTGCTAATAAATAATAGCCTGAAAAATCATCTCCAATCTAAATATTTACCAGAAATTACAGAAACGAGACATTAATGCTTTTTTAATTATATTAAGTTACTCTGCAGCAAATCGTAGCTTCTTTCACATCATATTTCCCCTTAAATAACACGCTTTATTAGCTCTAATTCCCACACACACACACAAACTCAGAGATTTTCCCTTTCATCCGCAGCAACACAAACACCAAATAAAATCTTTAAGACAGAGTGGCCGGGCCGTTTTCCTTTCATGTTGCAGCCTGTTATCGACGGGGCGCTGTGCGGCAGGGAAAATCAATGCGATACAGTGAACTGGTATTAGCTGCCGCCTGCCTCCTATCCCTTGTCATCCATTTGCTTAAGCCTGAACTTGATCCTCAGTGATGGATGCTTTGTGGTAGGCTTCAGCTCATAACACGGCTCCCGGCTAATCTGAGCGTCACACTGTAGTCGCGGGGGTGGCTGAGAGGGGGTTAGTAACTGCGGAGCCCGCCTGCGTTGTTGTTCTTATAAGAAGGTGTTGTTTCAGCTGTTGCTGCCAGGGAGCCTGCATCACATCTTCAAAAAAGTTTTGCGATGGTATTGAGATGGCTGGCTGCATATCGGCAGATCTGACCACCGTAAGAGAGGGAGACATAAACAGGCTGAAGCCAAATCCCCACGCACCATGATGACAAAGTGCCTAATTTCCCGGTTTCCAATCATTCTCTCTCCCACTTCAGGTTTTCCCTCCTTCACTCCTGTGGGCTGTAAATGGCGGAATGACTGGGAGATAGTGCACCTGTCACAGTCGATTTGTGTTTGTGTTTGGAGGAGAGGGGCTGGGCGGAGGACAGATTCGGCTACTTGCGTGAGATTTGGAAGCTGAGCAGTGAGAATCTGTATGTGTGTGTGGTGAGGGGCCAACAACGAAGGGAATCTATAAAATGCAATCTCTGCTTTCACTCATGCTGTAAACAGCACACAATCGCTAATATCTCTGTGTACCTATCGCGTCTTCCAAAAGTTTTCACACCCCTTGAGGGTTTTCAAGGTTTCGCACATTAAAAACACAAACTTTGCAAATTTTACATAAGATAAATATCGTATCATTGTGCGGCCATTTATCTTATTTTGATTGGATTTGGCCCTTCTACGAGCTGTTTTGCAACTTTTAGATGAGTTGAAACACACTTGTATCAAATAATTAGGACCCTGTAGAACTTAACTGGCTGCTGAGGAGGCGGTTTAACCATTTGATTCAGGTGTTGGACCAAAAACGCATCTAAATGTTGCACACATTGAGTTGGATCTAAGTCATTCTGTTGCAGCTATGATATTTCAGGTCAATACCCTTCTTGAACATTTAACTTCACCACAGTTTCTTAGCATGCCTTCTTCCAGGAGTGTCTTGTACTGCAGCGGCGTGTGGCACAGGTGTCAAACTCCAGTCCTCAAGTTCTCTCCAATGTCCTGCAACTGTTAGGCCAACAACAAGATGCTGTAGAACTTGGCTGCATGAGGAGGTAGTTCAGTCACTTGATTCAGATGTGTTGGACTTGGATCACATCCAAAAGTTACAGCACACTGGCACTGAAGGACTGGACCTTGATACTCCTGGTATTGAAACAGAGCGAGCGGTCTGTGTACAGCAGGAAGGAATTTTGACCTTTTGACCTTTTTTACTTCAGGTCTTCCCTCCTCCTTTGTGGTCCTTATCTGTCTGATTAATGTTGCAACCCTACAGCAGTTTGGATGGAGTGTTCAATGAGTTCAGGGCCCTAACAAATTGTCAAACTATGTGTGCTTTTCTTTTTTTCCCAAGTAAAATCTATAAAACAATAAAACTTTGTTACAATGTGAAAAAAAAGAGCTGTGAATACACAAAGCATTTTATGTAAACACTTCTGAGAAACACTGGGATGACTTTTCACAGCTGTGTGAACTGGATTTAAATCAACAGTAATAAACCCCCTCCTGAACAGTCAGAGCGGACAAAGTTGCAGTCCGATCCATCTACACTGCAGCTGTCCCTGTCCTTGGGTTATTGTTTCACTGCTCTGCTCCTCCAAAGCTAAGTGATTGCCTTTGATTTAATTGATGAAGTGTGAATCTACAGAACAACATGACATTAGGTTAGAATTCGCAGCACTCGGCACACACTCCCAATACCACACGCACACACGCAAACTCGCTGATGGAGGCTAACTCAACCATCTGCGTGTTGTGTAACAAGCAGGGAGACAGCTAAAAGGCTGTGCCATGTGAGAAAATATGAGGAGAATCTCTACCCACAGACACTATCACACAAAAATCATAGCTGCGAGGACTGGTGCTGGTTTGCTGTTAATGCTTTCGGGCACTTTCCTTCATAATGTGCTAAGGTGTGATAAGACACCAGCCAGAAAGCTAGCAGCTTGTCAAATGAATGTAGCCTAAATATGGAATCATGCTTGTGGAATAATTTGCACCTTTTTAAATAAAGATACATGGGTGAGCAGGTCCAAGTGAGACTTTTTCCTTCAGTTATTCCAAGTGAAACATTCCTCCACCAAAAGTATCTTCAATCAAGAACCGGGACTGATGCTAACTAGTTCAATAACAACTATGAACAGGTGATTCTGAATTACTCACACCATGTCAATCGGGATTTTAAAAAAAGAAACAACAGATGCGGGTTGTAAAATACCCAACGCTGCCTTTAAAACTGCAGTAAGCAATTCAGCCTGATGTGGTCCTTAGTGGCCACACCAGGCTAGAGGGAAATACAGACATCCTTCAACCCAGTGGCACTTTTCAGCCCTTTCCAGAAGGTATGAAGATCTTCTTCGACTAAGAGATGTATCGAGCCTTCAGGAAGGCCTGTGGCATGTGCCTCAGAAACCTCCAAACAGAAGAAGGAGTCCAGGAGGAGAATACTGATCTACCTGGATGATTTTTGAAGCAAAGAACGATGAAGGTCAACACACACCTCCAAGTGCATGTTGCATCTAGTGAACGTCAACACTACCAATGAAATTATCCACAGCTCAAGCGGAGCAATATGTTCCTTTTTTTCAAACTTCAGCATATTTGTGTTCAAGTTTGCCTGCTTTATGAATCCATCAGACAGCCTCTGGAACTCCATTTCTCACATTACAAGTGATTTGACAACCAAATACACATTGGCCCAGGGTTAAACCTAAGAGTTATATGTTAAAAGTCATGATTTATTTATTCATTCATTTGTACATTAACTGAAGTAATAGACCCAACTTTATTGACAATGGACATTGGTAATTGATGATGCAATCACGACATTAGTTTTCTGATACACAGTCTCTCTAGTTCCTTCCAGTTCATTGCTCATATACAATCCGAATAAGATATTCTGAAGATTTTGTTTGTGAAATAAGTAACTTTAAAGATAAGGATAGGGAGTGGCAATAGTAGGAGTTTAATTTGTAGTGTGTTTCCATCAGCGTATGACGGCATCCTGGTTTCATTGTCAGAGTCGGTGCTTTGACTCTGGAAGCAGAAAGAACTGGCTCTGGTTCAGAATTAGAAACTTTTTTTCAGGGTACAAGTCCTACTGAGGTGCCTTCAGTTTTTCACCGCTGAACATTGGATGCAACACGTTCACGTTCATATACTCGGTGACTCTGATGCTTTCCATTGAAGATTTATTACATTAGAAAAAAAGAAGAAAAAAAATAAACAATCTCGTCCTTCTTCCTGAGCCCCTGGTGGTATTGTTGTGTTCCCATTCACTGGTGCCACAGTCAAAGGATTTCGGTGCTGATAGCAATCATGCATTATTAAACAAAGCCTGACAACATGCACCATGTTAATTAGAAAAAGAGGAGGTGGGGGGAGAAAAAGAAAGAAGATGTTGAACTGTCGACTCTCTCCTTCCCAGTGATTCTTATCATAAATGTGAAAAAGAATGGGGGTGGCGTGTTTATACTCCACATAAAGGCTGGCCGGCGTTCTAATTTCAGTCTGCTGGTTTGGTATTCTGCTTTTTTTTTAGACGAGCAATATTACAGAGAAAGTAAGAAAAAGAACAAAAGAATCAGTTATATTTATCTCATATTGCAGCCATACAGCAATAAACTTATTGTAGGGATAAACGCAGGGTGAATAGTTATGAGGGTCCCGAAGCAGTGAGTTCATAACGTCAGCTTCGAAGCTAATATGTTTGTCTGTTTGCTCACATGCGATAGTAGTAGAGAGGACCTGATATAAAGCCAAGCAATTGAAACACTCCAGTAGTGATGTCATGTGTTACATTTTCAGCAGTACAACTTTATACTGCTCCTTTGTCCGAGCTGAGAAACTCTATGCAGTGGAGCTAAAGGTGATTCATAAATGGGGCAGGGCTTTTTTTGTTTTAGACTCTTATGCACAAACCAAATCGATCTTAAAGGAAACGCAGTTGAGCATGTTGTCCTAACGCACAACCTAAACAGCAGCAAAAATACCACCAAATCTATTAAGGCCAAATCCTCTGTAATTAGCCCAAACAGAAGCAAAGAGAGAAAAGGCACAAATAAAAGGAAACAGAAAGCGAGCGGCACTGCAGTGCGTTATAATCAGTATCACGCCCAGCCAG